ATTGCTCTCATCATGCATACTTTCCTTTCAGATTGTTGGTCTGTAGACTAGTTCTTTCCCAATTTTTGCATTGAAATCGCCAAGGACTATTTTGATATCATGTTGTGGAGCCTCATCAAATACTCTTTCCAGTGTTTTGTAGAAAGTTTCCTTCATGGTTTCATCTGCATCTTCCGTTGGAGCATGAGCGCAGATTAACGTAATGTTAATTAACTGCCTTGTAGGAAGTGGAGGGATCCACAAAGGCTAGGGACCGGACCCAATACAAAGGCAGCTACCCTGAGAGCTGCAAGGGGCATCCCCCCAGACGGTTGTGCGCAGGGCTGACGACCCTGTCACATAAAAAAGCTAATGTTACGAAAGTAAAACCACAATCAGAAAAACGGACCATAGCTTTGACTTGGATATAATTATACGCCAGTTAAGACCTCGCGGGCCTGATATATTTGTACAGCGGGCCAGATTAGGCCCACGGGCCTTGAGTTTGACACATGTGGTCTAACACCTTTCATTCAATTTTTTTTATTTCATTGCATTGAGCGACCCCTGAAATAACCAAATTGAATGCTTAGGGCTCTGCTGAGCACAGGTTGGGAACCACTGTCTTAATCTAAGGTTGTGGTAAATGTGTTTGAATAAAATAGTCGTGGTTTGTTTTCTTTATCCATTTATGTTGATTATTTAACTCAACAAAGTTACTTCAGTAAACTCAAGATAGTTACTTCAGTAAACTCAAGATAGTTACTTCAGTAAACTCAAGATAGTTACTTCAGTAAACTCAAGATAGTTACTTCAGTAAACTCAAGATAGTTAATTCAGTAAATTCAACATAGTTACTTCAGTAAACTTAACATAGTTACTTCAGTAAACCAAGTAGATCTTCTCTATTTTTATCTTCTCTCCTTTTATCATATATATTTTTATCATATCTACTTTTATCATATCTACTTTATCATATCTACTTTTATCATATCTACATGCTTGTATTGGACTTGATGGATTTAAAAAAAAAAAAAATTTGATTTACAGATGTGGGGGG